TTTCGACCTACTTTTAGATTCTTCAGTACTATGTACGCATAATCCTACTATAGATAGAAATCAGGAGCCGAAGATTAAGAGATAATCCGTATTCGTCTATCTGTCAGCTCACAAACTGGAATGGTTCTGCAACCCATGCTTGATCATGAATGCCTATAGGCTGAAAATCCTGGAGATTCCTGACAAGTCATGACAAGAGATGTCCACCGAGTCGGAAATATATCGATGACAGTGGATAAAAGTGATAAAAGCAAGCACTCATAATTCATTGGATTTCTACTAACCCAGCTACTGAATGGCAACGTGTGTGCCCTGTAACCTAAATGAACTGGGTTGCAGGTTCCCAGTGTGGTGAGAGCTGTCTGCAAGACAAAATTGTAGACAACAATTTACGTCCAGAATCGGGGTCAGGAGAAAAAACAAGAACATAGCCTGATCTTGAGGAAGTCAACAACCAATCACAGCAGACTTAACGTGGGCGGAAATATCAACGGACTGTATAGGAAAAGGCCACAAAGAGATGACAGAATAAACTTCAGCAGGAAAACAACCAATAAGAAGACGTTACCTCTCTGCTAACAATGATGAATAATAATGTTACTTAAAAATGTATAAATATCTGTTGATTTTCTGAATAAACGATCTGTCACCTGGCCCTTGTCTTCTGTCGTTACAGTGGTAGATTTCCTTAAGTAGGTACTACTTAGGCATCCGAAATGAGGATGGAAAAACTGTCCAGTACTAAATGATTTTCACTGATTTTATAACTAACATTATGCACATTTTCTGATGAATAGGTATGAAAATCTAAGTGTTATGAAGGACACATTGATTGTTTTGTACTTATATGCATTCACCTTCGTTTTACACAGTGGAATCTCTGCTTCTAAGAAATACATTCTAGTTAAGTTGATAAAATTTTCATTTCGAAGATATTACCATGCTTCCTTCAGCGATGACGTTTTCATCTTGGGGTCATAGTGAAGTATAAAAGATCCAAATTATGTTATGCATGTTCAAACCAAGTTGACTTTCAATAGTTTGAAAACATTTGGGTATTGGGCATGTGATATTGATTATAAAAGTGTTTTGTATTTCCCAATCAGTGAAAAAAACAAAACGATATTGTTTTTACCGACATATCGCTATCTAAAGCCAATAGCATTCAGTTTGCTTCAGAAGCGGAATCAGACTTTGGTGAGCCACCTTTTCTAGACTGCCTGGCTAGTTTTTGGAGGAGAGGAAGAAAACCCACTCCAATAAATATTTAGACCTTGGGTCATCACACCCAGTCACTGCAAAGGGAATCAGTTGTTTCAAGCCTCCTTATACGGGAAAACTCTTTGATAACGGATGAGAAAGAAAAAGAAGAAATATCTAACATCACAGAGACTCTCATGAAAAATAACTACTTAAAGAACTTCATCATTAATTATGGTCGAAAACGTATTCCGAAGACATGGATCTCAACAGTTGTAGTTCCACATGGATTAGAGAAGTTAGACGATATCAGAAGAGTACTCAATAAGCACAACATCAGAGTTTTCACCAAAGCATCAGACATGCACACTACAAAGCATCCTTGTCCATATAAAAGACCAAATTTGTAAGGATTTACAATCTAATTGTGCTTGGAACGTGATGCGATATACATTGGACGAACCTCGCGAGAAATCAAGATCAGGAGAAATGAACACCATGGGGCCGTCTCTATTCGACCACCAAGAAATCCAGTTGAACTAGATAAGCTTGAAAAATCACAAACCATAAGTCTGTTCGGTATAGGATGAGGTCACAAAGTTGATTTTGACAATACTGAAATATTCAAATATTGGTTTTGTGGGAATTTTGCTTGACTGGTTGAAGAATTTCACCATAAGCTGACATCAGTTAGAGAACCATTTGAAAACCAGCCGGGAGTACTGAACAGTTGTTTCGTCCTAATTTGGGACTTTTCAGCGTTATGTAATGTCGGTATATTGCCCTATTTCAGGAATTGGCAGAAGTAAGAATTCATGGGCCATTGAATAGGGTCCCAGGGGCGTAATGGTATAACAGCTCACCTTGTGACCAGAATATCCTAGGTTCTAACCCCGTTGGGTGCGTATTGTGAAGAGTCCTAAACTAGGCTGACGAAACAGCTACCCAGTACTCCACGGTTGTTTTCCGATGGTTCGCTAACAGATATCAGCTCATGATGAAATACTGCAACCAATATTGAAATAGTCCAGAAGAATTCCAGCAGTCACAAAGAACGTCTAATACCAGAAGTATTTCATGTTAAATGGAATCCAACCTGTCTGAATAGAAATAACGGACTGAGACAGAATTTACCCTGGATCTAAATTACAATCAAATAACCTTATTGGATATTCTAATCATTAAAAGAACTAATTCGTTTTTCTTAATTGCATATGTACTACTCACAAAGAGTAAAAGTAGGCAAAATATTTTGATAAAATTAAGATGTATATAATTCGTCCATACAGATTTTTGAGAAATCGTTATGGAAATAATCCTAAACCCTACGAATCAGAGGTGTGAACTACTGTTTCCAATGAAATTCTTCACTAGTCAATATCGATTTTAAGTCAATCTAGTGAAATAGGATTCTTTGTCGAAAAATCGGGTGATTCATAAATTAGCTTTCTGAGGATGCGATTCTATCCCACTAGTGCAACAATTCAACGGCACTGTGAAAACCAAGAAGAACCATATAGGCATTTCATCTTCATTTTCAATTCTACAGCACTTTACATTGAACATCATATGAAATATTGAGATCATGAGATAAACATAAAGTTCCAATTCGGATTTTATTTTATTTTGAAATAGTCACACAGTGTGCTTTATAATAATATTTACTGATGACCACATTTTGAGCACAGTTTATTACTACTGCTCATAATCATATCAAGACAATACTCACACAGCTTTCTTGCTTTGCTTATATACATGAGTGAAGATTGATCAGACATATAAATAAAATCAAAATAAAGTCTAACAGGCATGCATGAAACAGAAAGGAGGATAGAATACATTCAGAAATAATAATATTAGTGCTATCAATCAAATACAGTAAGATGGGAAATGAGATATTTTTATAGTAAAATAATTAAGTAACTTGTTAAAATGTTAAAGTGTATATGAATTGAGATGTAATTTTAAGATTATTTATTATCCTCTGATTTGACTGACTGGTGGGAATAATATCTTCCATATCTGCGGTATTCGCTTGGAGTCACTTCTATTGCATGCGTTGTGTTGGGTGTAGACTCGATGAACCAGGCAGGATTCAGTAATCAATCTCTTTCTTTCCACCTACCTATATTACTTATTATGATTTCGACTCTGTCCTAACCACTCTATTGTGTCGCTGTGTGCTAATTCATGCAGTGCTATAGCTGAGTTTTTTCTAAATTACTTATCTTCGTGGGATCAATCATTCTAACCTTAGCTAAATTCTTATGTTCTTATGTCCCAGATTTTCAAAACAACTAGTCCCTTTGATAAATATGAATAAGGCATTTAGAAGACAAATTTCGCATAGACCGGTTTCCCCGCATTCAGATTTCAAGGAGTTTTTGTTTGTTGCTGTAACACTAGGAAGCAATACATAGATGATCTCGTAATTTTGATCGAAGTCTATAAATCAAACAGAAAGTATGATCTGAAAATGAGAAATAACAAACATTGGTGCAGGATAACATGGATCGGTGGCACAGTGGTTAAGACTCTCGCCGACCATGCTCATGGTCTGGGGTTCGATCCCCTGCCGACGAACACCCGATATCTATGGTCCGTGAGGACAAATACTCGCTAGTGATCACATCAGCTAGTGCCAGTTATGCAATGTCGTCAATTGACAGAATTTGGAATCCATTGTCTGGACACTGGATTGGGTCCCAGTGGTTTACGAGCTCACCTTGTAACTATGAGGTCGTGGGTTCGAATCCTGGTGGTGTGTGGATGAGTGCTGATGAAGAGCCTCAAACAATGACGAAACAGATGTCCAGTACTCCCTAGTCGGTTTAACAATGGTTTTCCAACCGATGTCAACTCATGGTGAAATCCTGTCACAGATCAATCAAATCCCTACAAACCAATACTTATGTATACATATATATTTATATACCAGTCATGGAATCTTAACGCCTCTGAGATCCTAGTAAGGAAATTCAAACCTGCAGCATATGCACAAAGCTATATACTGTAACGACAGAAGACAAGGGTCAAGCAACAGATCAGTTATTCAGAAAATCAACAGATATTTATAGATTTTTTTATGTACATTATTGTCAGTGGAGAAGCAAAGTCTTCTGCTTGGTTGTTTTCTTGCTCAAGGTTATTCCGTACTGCCTGTGACCGTTTCTCATAAAGTTAAGCTATATATCCTCGAATCCCATCTGCACACATTAAGTCTGCTGTGATTGGTTGTTGAGTTCCTCAAGGTTAACCTTTGCTCTTGCTTTTTCTCATGACCCCGATTCGGGACGTAACATTGACGTAAATTGAAGTCTACAATTTTGTCTTGCAGCCAGCTCTCACCACAATACTACATAACTCAGAGCAGTAGACAAAGATTTCATAGACTGATGTCATGTTATAGTTTGGCCAACTAAATACCATTAGTTTGTCAGGATGATTATCATACAATTCCCCCGACAAAAAGTCAATCACATTATGTTTTATAAACAATTTTCTCTGATGAACTTAAGACAAGAAATCAATAATGAATGCACGAACAATTTTTACATCATAGAATTCAATTCTTCATAAAAATAATCAATAAATTACCAAGTGGAATATCATTTTAAAAAAACCTAACTTCGAAAAAAAGCAGTAAGTGCATAAGTATAATTTGATGACTTCCTCCTAAAGTGCACTGACATCATCAATTTGTGTTAATCAATCATTATTCAAGGTCATTTTACTGCGTAGGTTTAAAAATTAAAATTCTGAATTAAACTCAATCTTTATTATTTCTCATATTTGTTCAGAATACACACATTTATTTAACAAGTGAAATAATAATAATAAAATGAAATTAATTTTTAATAATAATAATTTCCATTTGAATATACTACTTTCCTACTTTACATGTTTTGTTTTAATTATTCATGGTCAATTAATGCAAACAAATACAAACAAGACAGTGCATACAGTGAATTTTACAAATCATACTGGTAAAACTACGTCCAATGTTTCAGTGAAGACAAATTTGTCAGCAAATGGTCATTTAGTAATAGAAGCTGCGAAACTCACTGTCACTGATTTATCTCGTCAAGGTTATTCTCTGTCAGTTGAAAAAGCAAAACAACATACACACTACGCATCGCCATCATCACAACATCATGGTGAGCATACACATAATTATGATCAATATTTTCAAGGTAGTCCTGGTGCTAATCACAAGCCAATAGATGAAGAAGATTGGATATTACCATCAGAATGGATATATCAACAGCTGAATGAATATTTAACTTGTATATATGATAAACAAGTGAATTGTGAAGAACAATTTGTCACAAAATTACAACTTAAATTATTAAAGATTAAAAATGATAAAAAGAAACAACAAATTGAAGCTGAAAAGCATAAAACTACACCGCACAGATCGTCATTGTCGTCACCATCGTCTGCTGCATTTTCTACACCAAAAGATCATGCGAGAGCATCAGTCCCATTTGAAACACACACACAATATCCTACACTATCGTTTAGTTTTGGTCAGCAGCATAAACCAGAAGGCAGAGATCATGAATCCCATTCACGTCCTGAAGAACGTGAACATGGTTTATCACAACATCAGAGACATGAAACAACCTTTGAAGTACATGGACATTCTGACCGTCATGATAGACCAGAAGAGACACGCGAACAACACTCACATCCACGTCCACATCATGTTCATCATGATCATCATCATCATCATGATCACCACCACTCGTATGCTCCGCCGCCACCACCACCCCCACCATCGATGTCGGCACCACATCCTCACCATCCACCACATTATCAACCTTCATCACATTCATATCATAGTTCGCTTACTTCATACACTCTGCTTAAGAAATTAGCCAGCCTTATTCCTATGATTGGTGATGATGAAAAATCAGAACAGTCGGCTTTTTTCAATCGTTACAGAGCAGAATGAATCGGCGTCAGCATCGTCACCACGGAGCTCATCACCGTGATGACAATCTTTCTCTTCTTCTTCTTCAGCATAGACAGAGAAGGAAAATAATTTTGCACAGGATCTTATTTCTTTCAGAATTTCTATCATCATCGGTTTGATTATTTGTTTAACTCTATGTGGTGGGTGAGTAATGAATGCATGTTAGCGATTTATTTCTACCCCTGCTCCTACTAATACTACTAATATTACTACTAATACGTCTATAAATATAACACTGTTATTTATAATATTAGTGATAATAAATGTGTCGGGGAAAGTTTCTAATGATTTTGATTTTTCCTAGATTCTTTTTCTTTTCAATATGATTGATTGATTGCTTGGCTGATAGATGCAGTGGGAGATTCGAGTATAGACTGGTTAGACAAGATCAAAAAGTAAAATGCCTGCACAGTCAATAGTGACTGTCAAACTCTGATTCCCCGTTTTTATAGAAAGTATTGATTAATTTCAGTTTAGATTTCGTCACAAACCGACCCTGTCAGGAGTCGAACCCACGAACTTTCGGTTAGAAGGTTCATGAATTGTAGAATTCTGTCAATTCATGATATACACCACTACCGTGAATCATTGATGTTGTGTTGCATTCGATAACTATTCATTAGTACTTCGATTCTACAGCCACTGGTACATCCGCAACCTTGAAGAAAGTGTTTTCTCATACTGGGATTTGAACTCGTAACACCCAGTGATGCAGTCAAAGACGTTACTCAGTGAACTTTTCGAGTTAAAGGTTGACTGACCATTCTGAGTTCTTTAGGGATTTCGATTGTAGGTATATTAAAATATTGTAATTTTGAAGACCAATGAAATATTTTTCAGTATTATTGATTCATGTGAAACTGAAGTAAGTAACCAATGATTGATTGATTGACTGATACTGAAAACATTCTCAACAGTATCATATTTTACTCATAAAGCCTCAATTTTGTAAATCAGCTGGCCTAAACACATGGATAATATTGAAGACGCATTCATCTACATACATTGAAGTTTACTCAACAGAAAATCATAACAGAAGGAGAACAGAAAACACATTTTAACAGAAATCATTCTAAATCTTGTCGTGCATGCACATCAAAAGGTATTTTTCAATGTTCAATTCATTCTAGAAAGCGAAAGTTCATGAATGATGTGTCTGACTACTTACTGATTCATATAAGTAGTTTAAAATTATTCATATCAAAAATAGTAATTCTTCCTACCCCAAAAATCGAAGTGGTCTAAACATCGAATGGCCGTTTCATTCGCTCAAAAGCCAAGGTCATCAGAGGTATAACCCATCTGATTCAGCTAATAGAAGCTAATTTAATTCAAACCACTTAAAGTGATCTGAGCACTTTTTGGTTTCTAAAGAAAACAGTAATTTCCAATTAGATTGATTCTCTTATATGTTAATGGGATTTAAAACTTGACAATAAACTTCTTAAAAGATAGTATTTGACGGAGACACGTTAGAATCTGGTTAAACGAGAAAAGTTGAGTTATACTGCCTAAATTCCACGGGAATCCGATAGATATTCTTAAAATTTATTTGTGATTCTCATTGATTCATACTGGTGTAGTTCTGGTGTAGAACTTAAACATTCCACTTGGTTTTTTGTCGCCACTTCAAACTGGCTTTATGACCACCACCCCCACACCAGCTTCTCAGACTCATGCCCAACCCATTGTTTCTTACCCGGGATCCACTCGAGGCTCGATCTACTGTGTGATGTTACTTGAAAGTCCTCCTAGCATAGGGTCAGTCCATCTCTATTTATTGAGCAGTAGATTCTCGACTGGTTGGCAAATGGACCAAATAGCAGTCCATATCTCCGACAAATCAGGAACCAATCCTAAAATTCGAGTTCTCTCCTGTTTAAAGCGTATATTGTCATAATTATCTGTAGCAACTCTAAGAGAAGTGTTCTCCAGTCGTCTACTGGTCTCCGGAAGCCTTAAGGACAAGATCTCGTATCTAACCACTTCTATATGCATATATCAGTTCCTTTGTTGCTGTGGTCGTTCAGTGCATATCCTATCCAAAGGGGTTCGTGAGCTCTATCCCGCATGGCTTTATGAGGAGTGCAATAAAGGAACACCTTGTCAACACCAACCATTCCATCTCAAAAAATACCTCCTTCAAAGTGACCTACAAAGTGAGGAATAACCTACCAAAGGCAATACGCTTTCGTCTGCTTTGTTTTGCTGAAGCCTTAGTCATTCGTTTGGAAAAGACCAGAGTTTTGTGTACAAAAGAAGGTCATCCAACCAATTTTACACTCATGGTGACAACCGTGGTGACTCCCACTGACTTGATGTTTATGTTCTTGTTTTTTTAATTTTCTAACTCCTTAAAAAATTTGTAATTTTTAGAACTCTTATATAATTCCATATTTTTCTTTGTTTCTGTGTGGATCCTAATCCCAACCCACTCAATAATTAAACTATTCATCTTATTACGTAACTGTATTACGCTTATTCAACTTCTTTTATGTGTTGATTAACATGAATAACTGTGTCTTCTTGACAACACATCACCACTACCCTCTTGCTAATCTTCAACGTCACTAGTTTCAGTTTGATTACTAATCACATTTTTAAAATGTCTTGACAGCAATAACGCTAACTAATTTGTATTTTTGTTCGGACAAACCTAATGTACACACATGCAAAAATGAGTATATATAATTGTGAATGTAAGGCTAAGTGAATGAATTCACCGCCGAAGAGACTGTTCATTGAAAGACGTGTTTTTTCATCGTTAATGTCTGGATGAGGACAAAATATATTCATCTTTAGAGATCTTAAAGTGCAAGGATTTTTCATTTCCATATAATTTAGATGTAGAACATTTTGATGATTTATTTCTGAGATACTGAACACTAGTCATACTGTGCATGCAGATTTAATGTAAATATTACATTTCAGCGCAAGATTTACACTATTCACACAAGCACACACTCATGATGTCTATTTTCTTCCTTCTAACTTATACTAAGTGTATTAAACGTTAAAAACTATAATGCTTTATCCAGGTCCAGTTTATCTTATCTAACTCTGATCGGTTTTAGATATCCACATTGGTAGTAGACAAATTTGCAGTAGTAATAATGTGGCGTGTGCGCTACTGACAAGACTGATCAGTAGTCTATAAAGAGACGATCATCGGAATAAAAATATCGAATAGCGAAGAGACAGATTTGAAGTTAAAGAGAACAACCAGTGGACTGCAGTGAAACATGGGAGGCACGAAAAGAAGAGGACAAAATAATTCAATACGAAGGAAGGGCAGAAGTAACAAGCACAGCACGGAAGATCTGTGCAAATGACAATTTCAATTTATATTTGGTAAACATAATTTCCCTATATTTGTACATAAAACTGAAATTTGTATTCCATTATCAACGACTCTAGTGTTCTACCGCTTCACTAGTAGTCAGGTGATTGTATGTTACTCTCTCCTCCATGTAATTCAGGAATCACTAATTTGAATTCTACCTCCTCCCAGATTATCACCTCACTTTCAGTTATCAACAACTAAAAGACTGATCATTAACGAACTTGAGATGGAGAACCACTGAAGACCTAGCGAGTGTTGGACAACTGTTTTGTCCTTTATCGAGAAGAAGTGAGAATAGATAGACCATTGGATTCTGTCGAAAAGGCTGAAGAGTCAGTACTCTCGCTTTATAACTTGGAGGTCCTGGATTCGTCCCATGGTGGTTGACATCATGGATGGGTGCTGACGAAGAGCCCGAAACAAGGGTGAAACAGATGTTCAGTATTCCCTGACTTACATCAGAATTATTTTTCTGGCGCTTTAGTTTTTTAACTAACATTATCACTACTTTTGAAATGATAAGTAGTATAGTTTTAAAACCAGAATTATTCTGGTTTAGCAAATCAAATTCGACTAATATGTAAACAGAGAGAGTATTCTAAAATATCAATAGTGTTGCATGTACTGAACTCTGAAATTGAACTAATAAGTGCATTATTGATTAAATGCACTTATGATAGACATGTATTCTTATTAATGTAAGCAATATCAATCTACGTAAATATTAGATAAATTCCTTTGGCTTATATTACAATTTATGGCAGCAAATATCATCATCATCATTGGAGAAATCGCTCAAATTATTCGGTGGTGGGAGAGAGATAATAATACTACTAACTAATTATTAGTAGACTATATTTCACCTCGTTTATAAATTGTATCAGCAACCAACATTAGTCAGGGAATTATTGAAGTAAAAGTGGTATCTGATGGACACCTTAGCCTAGTGTAGGACTCTTCAGCACCGCGCACCCTTGACCCCACCTGGGGTTAAACACAGAAACTTCAGTAATTTAATAATTCCAACTGTAGCATTAAGAACACAATATTCAGCAAAGAGACTCTTTTCAACAACGAATTTATTATCAAGCTGTACGGTCGTATATATATGGTTCTTAAGAAATTATATCCGGTGAGGGAATTAGGTCAAAGGTGGCACAGTGGTTAGGACTCTCGCCGACCATGCACATGGTCCGGGGTTCGATGCCCTGCCGGCGCACACCCGATATCTATGGTCAGCCTGAATTTGGGCTACCGATATCCATGCTGAAAATTCCATACTTGTACTGAAAATACAGTGTGGAATCAAGCTGTAAATCAAATTAAAATAAAAAATAAAAACAAATAATAATAGTAGTAGTATGAAATGCAATTAAAATATTTGTGATTATAATCATAGTTTAATGTCAAGTGGCAAAATAGTTAATGTCATATATAGAATAATACATAAGGTGTATAGAATTTTGGAAAGAGGTACATAATCATAAGATTAGTAGACGAATATAAAATGTTACATAACATGGTGTGAAATTTGACAAGATGGAATTCAATATTGTAAAAAATAAAAATATAAAAATTAATGATTTTGGGTTTAAAATGTCAGTTTGAAGCATTATCACTGGGTCTTCGATTTTGT